CACAATTAAAATGGGTAATATCTGTACATAGTGTATAACCAGGAATTTATTCCTTCTGAATAAACTTACAATAATGTAAATTTAAAGAAATGTTTTCCATCTTTTCAGAAACTGTAAACATCAATGTGAAATTTGAGCTTGTTTTGAATTTCACAAAATAATCTATGTTTAGTTCCAACTCTGTCAGTCCCACGTGCAGGTCATTTTACTGCCAGAGCTATGGCTTTCACTCGAGTTACAAGGTCACTATTTTTTCCTGCCATAGTTGGTTGCAGCATCGTCAGTGCATAAATCTATACAATCAATCCAAGTCAAGCCATCAGCACAGACAAATTCATTAAGTAAACAAATCTGTCTTCACCTAAAGTTGTTTTTGGGGTTATTTTACAAAGTAGTAACTCTTTTCTTATATTTCCTTCTGTTGTTTATCTAAAAATTAATGTCATATGTTTATCAGTATAACTAATTTATAAGCATATTAGACACTTAATTATTTCTTGAAATTATTAATTTTTTATGGGCAATGCTATTAATTGTGCCAAAAATTAATTGCTTCCCATAATTTCTTGACAAATGATCAAATATCATTTTTAATTTTCAATTTATTATAATAGTCCATTTGGGATATCACTATAAGAAGAGTAAGGAACTTTATGACAGGATGAGGATATTTTATAAATATCACAAATTTTTATCATTAAACATTTATCGTATTTCTCATCAAATTTTAAAATTTTTTCAAATTATGATAATAAATATTAATTTTTAACAGAGTTTAATGAAAAGAAAGTACAAAAACAAATTGAAATGAAGTCTGCAATAATTAATTTTCAGTATTCTCACTTTATGAATGTTTTAGTTGGTAAATTAAGAATATTGACTATGTATGCTAATACAGTATATGCATTACATATTGATTATGTCTGCATTACTATGCTAACATGTTATATATTAGCATAATAATTTCTTCATCATAGAAATTTCTTGTTCAGTATTAGAATTTTTTTGCATGTTCTTCCACTATATCATTTTCATTGACATCACTTTCATTTTCAGATTCAATGATCAAATTTTTATTGTATGATTCATGTAAAATCTGTAATTCTTCAATACCTCGTCCTGTTGACAATTCTATACATGATATTTTCCATTTCCAGAAAAATAACCGAAATAAATCTTTAAAAAAATACTGCAACCTATTAGAGCATTTTGTTATCTCTCGGATATGAATTAAAGGAGTGTTGAGGAAAATTGCAGTTTCATCTAACAAAAAAAAGAACTGAGAAACCATTGCTAGTAATCAATGTTGTCAGTCCTTTAAGAATAATTATTCAAAAGTTTTCAGTTCTACACCATTTCAAAAAATTATTCTGAATATATTTGTTAGATTGGTCACAACCTCTGATAAGTTAAATAGTAATTTAAAAAAATAATATCAATATTATAAATACTTTTCACTTAATTACACAATTTTCTACAATCTGTATTGAAATTTTGTTATTATCCATTAAATATTTTTATTATTTTTCTTAATACACAAAGATTTGCTTCCTGTTAGATTTAATACAATAGCAGTGGACAAATGTTATTTTGATTTTTAAACAGTTTAAGTATTTCCCAATATAAGGAAAAGGATTCTATCTGAAATTTCATGCTGCCTGTAGCAATATTATTATAATTGGTTTTTGAATGATAAAATGTAAGATTCAAAACATTCTGATCTTTTTGAAAAGTGTTTTGGATGTGAATACTGTTTTATATTCATGTTTTTATTGTGTTTTCAAACTTTCTTTAAACCTATAAACTTGAAAAATCAAGTTTAATCAAAAATCAAAGTTATTTAAAATATATATAAAATGAAATTAATATTTTCATAGCATATTTTAGCACATGAATGATCTATATTACTCATTGCCACATAAGCTAGCATTTCAATTAAAATTTTAACAAAACTTAATTTAAATCTTCTAAAATCTGTAAGTTTCTAAATTATTATTATTATTATTATTATATAATACACTGAAGTCCTGATTATCCGTGCATCATCAAAATATTTTGTCCACAGACAACATAACAGATGGGAAGTTGTATACATAATATGCCCAAGTAGTAGACTTTCCAAGAAACTGTTGTGTGAGAACCTGGGCTAGTAAAAATTATTTGATTAAAAAGAACTCCATTTAACTTTATAAAATTTATTTCACCAAAACTGTAATGGAAAAAATTCCATGTCATAGATACCATCCAAGAACTTCAGAACTTTCCCCACAGATTGTACTTCCTTTGTGAGTGACACAGCTTCCAAATAACTATTCATCAAGGAAATAGAGACAGAATTTCAGATTAGAGCAACTGGCAACTTCACCAGAAATGGACATTGAAATGCCAGGTGAAGGATCTCAAATTAAAGGGTAAAGGACTGATGACATGCAGAGTTTACCTCTCAACCTCCTTTCGTATGTGTTCATTCTAGCTGTGCTTCACTGCCTTTCATTAGACCTTTGCTACCTTTAACAACCATTTGATTGTGAACTTCCACTCTAACCAATGTAAGACACTCCTCCTCCTCTTTTGAAGATGACCAAGTCAATTTCACCGATCCAGCTATTTACAGACGCATAGAAATTTGTAAATTCTCTCTCTCCCCAGACAAGTATAAATTATACTTTTCCATTTAAGTTTTGCTCTTGTAAAGTTGTTTTGTTAAATAAATTATTGTTAAATGTGTAGTGGAGTGTGTTATTTCTGGATACTCCCTGTCTCCCTAACTTTTTCTCCTCCATTTGCCCACCTTCATCCTCATATGTAACCACTCCTGCACATTCCACAAACGTGCAGAAAAGTAAAATCTAGGTTTCTGTGTTTGTCAGAAAACACAGTGGTGTTAGAAGCATAATGGGGAGTGCTTCATAGATTTCACAGTTGTTTTTATCCATTTGAGTTGACCTCAGTTTATAAATGAAACTTTAGAAATTTATTGATGGATTATACATGAAATAAAATTACGCTTATATACTATAAGCAGTTGAAAAAATATCCTACTAGTCCTAAGATTAAAATACAGTAATTTGAATAAACTGTAAGAATTATATGTAAAATTTTTAATTTCTGCACAATATTTTTGAAAATAAAAGACATTTTCATTTTATGTTTTTTGACTAAATATACATTTCAGCTTCTGAAACTTGGGATTCATACTTGCATCGCCTAGTTTAGAGGGCTATTTTGGATTATCTATGTTTTCCGATCTTCACTAATTAATATGGATAATTGGGAGTTCAGTGTATATCAGTTATAAAACTTAAATTTTAGTAAATTTAATGGAATCAGGTTAAAATAGGTTACCAAAAAATTAAATTGTAAATTGTGATTAATATCAAGGGCCAAACATTCATAATAGGACAGAAATTATAAAAGAAATCAAAAATACATGTGATAAAGATGTGTACAACAAGTGTGTGTTTGGTGGGGTCAAAAATAAATCAATCTGTTAATATAACTTTTAGTCCAAATTACATAATACCTATGGAATTAATTAGCCAAGTTCTAGCCTGATAGTTAATCTGGCTTTATCATTTGATTATTTTACTATTAACATAATAAAAGTGTTTATAAGTACTATCTTTAAAATAAGCACTTTCTGCAGCCGTGCTCTTCCAATTTATTTAGTATTTATTAAAAGTGTTGCAATCTATTCGGTGCTATCTCTTTGAATGCAGTTGTTGCAGCACTTTTCACTTCTGCTGATTAGATTCTAAAACCCTTCGGTAGAGCTTTTCATTTTGCTGAAAGTCTGCTGGAGCTGGTAAAGGTCTGGTGAGTAAGGAAGTTTTGTAGTGGAAGTAAGGAAGTGAGTAAGTGATAAAATGACCAAGACAATAGGTATATACATAAAAAATTCCAAAAGAGAGAATATTTAAAATGTCTTGCATCTTGTCCTTTCTACACACCTCAGGAATTAACTCTCATGGTGGAATTGAATTCTCTTTGGAAGTTTGTCTACCTGAATATGTAAAATGTTCTAAAATTCTGTCTGGTTACTTTTTAAATTGTTCTGTTGCCAGAAGGAATTTTGTAATGTTTTACACATTGAAGAAGACAAGAAACATCCAAAGAGATCAGTTCTACCATGAGAGTTAATTCCTGAGGTTTATAGAAAGGACAAGATGCAAGACATTTTTAATATACAGTCTCTTTTGGAAACTTTTATAAATTTTTTAAGTGTACAGTATTTGGTGTTTTGCAAGATATTCACTAACTAGGAGAGTGTGATGCAATGAGGCATAGGTGTGATATAGAGATCAACTTATTGTTTGCCAGATACAAGGCCATTTTTAACAGATCAGTGTCAGGAAGAAACTTGTAATACACTAAGACTTTTCACATAAAAAAATGCTGTGACAATTGCAATTGACATAACACAGAATAAGTTTGAAAATGAAAAATGATAAGCATGATATTCACTAATTTTATGTCATGCTTTATGATCCAAAATTTATCAGAAATAGAAAAACTTGAACAATTATTAATGAATAATCAGTTTTTTAGTATATTTTGATATTACATTTGCATTCCATTCTACATGAAAATGCATTTATTAAAATAGAAATGATCAAAAGTATGTAACAGCCAGTTTCTATTTTTAATTATAATGTGACTAAAGGAAAACAGTTTTATAACAAATAATTTTATTATAAATTTTATGTAGCCGAAAGTGTTAGATGAATAAAAAATAATTGCTGGAATAGGTTTATTTTTTATCTAAGTATTTACAATAATCTAGTTTAAGATCAATATATGAAATCTATATACTGTAGACGTACATTTGAACATTGTATTGCCTATATGAATGTTAAAAAGTAAAGATTAATATAATTATATTTTATGGAATTTTGTAGAACTAAAATTAAACACATTAGACAGTGGAGCCTTGACATGCGATTTTATTGAAATTAAAAATTAATAGAATATAATTTCTGTTTTATTGATTTATTTCCTAGGTATATCTGGTGAAAAGGTTGAAATCAATCCTCTTCCACAGAAAGGTACCGCAAAATTACTAACTAGACAGCAGAAAGCCGTTACCTATTACATGGAAAACATTGCGGCATGCGAAATGATCAATAGAAAATACAGTAAGTATCAGACTTGGATGCCGTCGACTTAATTTCTCTTATGAAATAATTAACGTATTTATCTTTTAAGGTGTAGGAAAAGCTGTATTTAAACTTGTGTATCATAATGGACAAGACTTCAAAAATCATATCTTTGAAACAAACAGTATAACTGCCCTAGAAATAGTCAAAAAGTTGCAATATATTTTAGAAATGCATTACAGTACTGCTCAGAAAGAATATATTGCTCTTAAAGAACAGAAACTGTTCAGGAAACAGCAGTGAAAATACTTAAGAATTGACTTGATGAATCATGTAAATAATTCATTAGAAAATAAAATATGTTTATATTTTCCTTAAAGTTTTCTGTAATTTTATAATGGTAATACATTCAAAACTTGTAAGAAAACATAAATTATTATTTTTAAAGATATATCTTCTGAAACTTCATAATAATAAAAAAAAATACCTTATTAGAGTTAGTATCATATTAATATATTTACTCTTATAATTTTTTTTAAAATTTAATAACAATTTAGTTTTAAACTTATCAACTAAATGTTATTTGTTATATTCTGAATATAACATGTTTCAATATATATAACATTTACAATGATACAAAACTTGTATTAGAGGCCATCCGCTAATTACACGTACAGTTTTCAAGCCAAGTGACCACCTCCTCGGCTAACTGATAGTTTATTCACGTGACTAGTGAGTACGCTTATAAGAACAAATTTGTATCCAGGTAATAAATACCACTAAAAAGTCCATACAGACAATGGCTTGACCCCACCCCCTTAAACTGTACACATCATGGATGGCGCCTTATGCAATTAAGAATTTAAAGCTTGTTTCTGGGACCCTGCTGCTGGTAAAACTGACGACACAGTGTTAACAAAATATAATTATCTGAATAACAGATAAAGGTAAAAACAAACAAAAAAGTGTAAAAAATGTAGATGGAACCCTCAATTTCTCACCTCAAGAAATGTTTGTTTACACTTTTAGTAGTAGTAGTTAAGTGGCCAAGAGAGGAGCGGCCTAAAGGGACATTTATCCCTATATACATAGTCAACAGAATAGGAAAATTTCATGTTCCTAAATTCAATCTATTATTTAAAGGATTTTAAACAGAATTGAGACGTTGCTATAGTTTCGGAATAGTATGCCGAGACCCGTATTACACATTTAACAGGATTCGGTAAAGGTTTCTATGTTAATTTTTTCATAGCCCCCACTTTTGTGTGGCCAGAAACTATATTTCGAAGATCACCAAATAAGAGATTTTACTGTTTATTTTTAACAACTGTACTGGATTAAGAAAATGAAAGCAACAAATAAAATCAAATATCAGATTCGTGTAAGTACGCTTTAACTTTTTACCCTGAGGGCACTGAGAGGTCTTTTTACAAAAACATTTGTTTTTGTAAAAAGCCCTCTCAGTTGTTGGGCATGGCACAAAGGACTTGGTGACAGCCAGGCAATGAAGGACAGGACTGCCATGCAGGAGGATCACTCATAAAAAATTTCAGGGTTTTTCCCCATCTGGATCATTTCTAAGTTTCCAGTACAGTAGACTAATACCTTAACCACTCCGACATCCGGTTGTCCATGTAAATGCAGATAGGGAGGAAGTCCTGTCACACTTAGAAAATTAATCATATGTTCCATTTCTTATTTGTTTTAGATAAAGAAACATGAATATAACTATACCATTGAAGAACATATAATCCCTAGTTGTTAGGTTTATGAAATAAATTAACTAGGCGTTTAGCATAGATTTGGGTAACATAATCATCAATAATATAGTTACTTGTATCAGCCATTATTCACGTGCACAGGAAACGGAACATACGATTAATTTTCTATAGAGGTGACGAGACTGCCCACCCATCATATATAATTAATAAAATGATATACACTGACATACCATAAAAATAGAAACAAATCTAATAGCTTATTGTTTCACTTGTTGCCTTGATTGCATGACACTCACTGGAAGAGTGTATCAAACCTCAATTGCAAACCGTAATTCCTCAAGATTAATTGGAGGAAGGTCCCATCTACTTGGCTCTTTCAACGGCATTCCAGATATGTTCATGTCAAGAGGCCAGATAATGACACTAAGAATGTTCCTTCGTTTCTTATGTACAATACATTTGCCAAGACGGCCAAGACAATTAAAAGGCTAGATTCACACTAGAACTGCCAGGTCCATTTTCGACAGGTTAAAATGCTGGTGGTTCAACCGGTCTGACCGGCAAAAGAACAAAATCATTCACACATCCTATAGCACTAGCATACGGTATAATCATTAATTTCGATTTGCCGGTTGGCAATCGACAGAAAGGTCAAATCGAACAAACCGTCTTACGGGCCTTATCGCGACAACCACCTGTCATCCTTCAAAACATGATACAGTAGTTCTAGTATGAATCATCCTACCGCTCTGGAGGATCCGAGATCGATTCCGGACGGTCGTAAAAAAGATAGGAACTTTTCGGGAATCATTCTGTCCCGGATATGTCGGGCTCCGCTCCGTTGTGGGCTTGACCGAACCCACGACGAATATGAATCTAAAAAGGGTCTCAAAATTTCATCCACTTCAGAACACATTTGAAGGCGGAACTCAACTGACCCGAGTGAAAGAGTATGTTGTGAAATTTTGTCAAAATGGTACTTAACTTACTCGAAAGGCATTTGGAGTTTTGGATTTCTAAGCCCTGCCGAAGCAACAGTAAAAGAAGTTCCAGTTTATCTTGAACTTCTTACTTTGCGGAGGAACTCAGAATATTTCGCGCTGGAAATTTGCTTCAATCTCTGACTCCTTTTCGAACTTAACGAAAGCCTTTCTCAATCCTGCTATCTTGGCTTTGTCCCAATCTATCTTGAAGTCGTCTCTCTCTATGGGAGGATGATGCTTCGAGGACCCAAAAGGAATCCCACCGATGTCTGGATCCTTTGCATATTCCAATGATTCTGCCAGAAGCCCGCTGACGTCTGCATTCTGTGAAGGATCATTTGTCTCCTCCACTCTGCGCTCACATCTCTGTTGAATTGGAGGTCTTCGTCCGAAGATCCTACCACTTTATAATAATTAATAATACAAAAGATTTTTAATAAAATATCATAACAGATGCTCCACCAAAATTAAAATTTTTTTTTGTTTTTGCCGCAATGAATTGCTGGAGTTTATACTATGCATTTCTTTTAAAATCACATTTGTGGTCACACTAGTTTATTTTATATTGCACGAAAACACTACTAGATATTCTTAGTATTTATTATTCTAAATACTATGTAATTTTTAAAATCAATCGAGATGTACAGTAAACATTATTTTCAAAATTATTTATTGTAGCAACATCGGAACGGAGTCGTAAACTCGTTTTACGACTCCGTATTTAAATTACACCCGTTATACACGTGGTTAACCGACTTTTGGACCACTCCGTGTACGTGTATTCACGTAATTCATAATCGAACGAAGGTGCTACCATCTGTCGTCGATGCGGTTAACGAATTTTTTGGTGTTTTATTTTTTTTGTCTGTTTTTTAAATAAAAAAGTTGTGGTAATAAATAAAAAGATAACCCCGAAACCTCGCCAAAAAAAGTTTCATATACTCGAAAATAGGCGATGTAACACAAATAAAAGCCACGAGTACATTCAGAAGTGAAAATTTATGGAGTCTAAAGTATCAATATTTGAATATAAATGAAAAATTTCCAAACTTATCTTGCATACTCAAGCTTCGGGGGGTCGTGTTTCTAACACACTTTATTGCCGTAGTTACTCGCAGTTGCTCACTTATAGATTACCTGCATCGTTGCTGATTATACAGTAGAGTAATAACAGTGGTAGCATCAATAATGTGCATCGTAACATGTTGACATATATTGACTCGTCAGTCAGTCTGTTATTATTTGCGCTGGTTTGAATGCATTTTACATACCCTTACACACACATTACTTCATTATTTCTTCAAAAGATGGNTCTATGTTTTCCGATCTTCACTAATTAATATGGATAATTGGGAGTTCAGTGTATATCAGTTATAAAACTTAAATTTTAGTAAATTTAATGGAATCAGGTTAAAATAGGTTACCAAAAAATTAAATTGTAAATTGTGATTAATATCAAGGGTCAAACATTCATAATAGGACAGAAATTATAAAAGAAATCAAAAATACATGTGATAAAGATGTGTACAACAAGTGTGTGTTTGGTGGGGTCAAAAATAAATCAATCTGTTAATATAACTTTTAGTCCAAATTACATAATACCTATGGAATTAATTAGCCAAGTTCTAGCCTGATAGTTAATCTGGCTTTATCATTTGATTATTTTACTATTAACATAATAAAAGTGTTTATAAGTACTATCTTTAAAATAAGCACTTTCTGCAGCCGTGCTCTTCCAATTTATTTAGTATTTATTAAAAGTGTTGCAATCTATTCGGTGCTATCTCTTTGAATGCAGTTGTTGCAGCACTTTTCACTTCTGCTGATTAGATTCTAAAACCCTTCGGTAGAGCTTTTCATTTTGCTGAAAGTCTGCTGGAGCTGGTAAAGGTCTGGTGAGTAAGGAAGTTTTGTAGTGGAAGTAAGGAAGTGAGTAAGTGATAAAATGACCAAGACAATAGGTATATACATAAAAAATTCCAAAAGAGAGAATATTTAAAATGTCTTGCATCTTGTCCTTTCTACACACCTCAGGAATTAACTCTCATGGTGGAATTGAATTCTCTTTGGAAGTTTGTCTACCTGATATGTAAAATGTTCTAAAATTCTGTCTGGTTACTTTTTAAATTGTTCTGTTGCCAGAAGGAATTTTGTAATGTTTTACACATTGAAGAAGACAAGAAACATCCAAAGAGATCAGTTCTACCATGAGAGTTAATTCCTGAGGTTTATAGAAAGGACAAGATGCAAGACATTTTTAATATACAGTCTCTTTTGGAAACTTTTATAAATTTTTTAAGTGTACAGTATTTGGTGTTTTGCAAGATATTCACTAACTAGGAGAGTGTGATGCAATGAGGCATAGGTGTGATATAGAGATCAACTTATTGTTTGCCAGATACAAGGCCATTTTTAACAGATCAGTGTCAGGAAGAAACTTGTAATACACTAAGACTTTTCACATAAAAAAATGCTGTGACAATTGCAATTGACATAACACAGAATAAGTTTGAAAATGAAAAATGATAAGCATGATATTCACTAATTTTATGTCATGCTTTATGATCCAAAATTTATCAGAAATAGAAAAACTTGAACAATTATTAATGAATAATCAGTTTTTTAGTATATTTTGATATTACATTTGCATTCCATTCTACATGAAAATGCATTTATTAAAATAGAAATGATCAAAAGTATGTAACAGCCAGTTTCTATTTTTAATTATAATGTGACTAAAGGAAAACAGTTTTATAACAAATAATTTTATTATAAATTTTAAAATATTCCTTGATGGGGGATAAACGGGGGGAGACGAATTACCATCTGCTTGCACGTGCGTGAATGTAATCTGTTCGACTTTCATCACGTGTAAACTCGAACAACGAGTGCAGGTGGCTTGTGTCTTCTATTGTTGACAGAGCTCTTGACACTGGTCTGGGAATAGGTGAGATAATAGTTGAAGATTCAAACAGATTAATCTTAACGTCTGACTGAATTTTTGGGTGAAATCGGGTGAGATAATTAAAGGTATTTAGTATTCAATTTTAGGGTTTTACTCGACCTGTTTATACATTCCTCTTATTACAAGTGGAATTAGTTGACTCCTTCACATGTATAAATTAATACTTGTGATAGTAAAATGTTCAATTAAGAAAGTTACTAACATAGTTTTACTTAGTTTTAGTTAAATAATATACGACTCGAACATACTCGAATGTATTTTTTTCGGTTTTAAAATAACTGGAAAGGTTACTTCACCGCAATACTCCCAGCTCTTACAGTGAAGCATACCCTGATTTTTATAAGATAATAGTGTCAATATTTGTCACTTATAGAATAAAAGAAGTGTACAAATTTGTAATTTAAGTAATAAAATGTTTAAAATTTACATAAATTAAACAAAAATCTGTTTAAATTTTCGATTATTTGTTCTATAAAAAATAAAAAATAACTGGAAAGGTTGCTTCACCGCAATACTCCGATGTCTAGCAGTGAAGTTTGATGAGACCGTCAATATTTATCACTTAAATATACACTTTTACAAATAAATCTGTAATTTTTTCGATTAATTTAAGTAATAAAATTATTAAAATTTACATAAACTCAATTAAATCCTTCGAAAATTCTTAATTATTTTCTTACTCCTCCCATTTTTAAACCGAAAGTATTTGTTCCTAAAATCGTTTTTTTCACTGATTTTTATATATATATTGTCGGTCATTTATCTCTCCGGGGCAACGTACGACACTTTTGTGACGTGAACAAAACAGGTGGGAAATGAGAAACTAAAATATCACCCAGGTAACAAAAATCATAAAAACACAGTAGAAAAAGTTTCAAAAAGTGCATCCAGGAGACCTCAAGTGCACCGTAAAAACAAGCCACTTTGAGCAACTAGTTCGGTTAAGAGAAAGGTGTAATAGCACTTAAGAGACGTAAGCTACTACCAGAGTAAAAAAGAAAAAAAAAAGGAAAAAAGAAGAAGGGGGAAGGAAGAAAAAAAAGAAGGCAGTTCTAGGAAGGAAAAAGGAAGAAAAAAGTTTTTCCCATCTTGCCTTACTGACAGTCTGAACGAACAGTAAGCAATAAGATCCCAACCTTTAATATCTCCGGGTACCCTGGAGGTTTTCACGAGCGACAGAGCAATATCCATTGAAGCGATATGGCTTATTGCAGTGCACATGTTGCCTAGCCGGTTTCTGTCAGCTTGAAGCTGTGTGATTGGCTAGTTTGTGTACGTGGAAATGGCAACAGCTTTCAGTTTGGTAGAATAGATGAAGTGACACAAGGGTGGTGTTGGATCAGACATGCACTGCCAATAATACGTGGAATAGATACAGAAGTGGACTTGGCTGTTTTGGGTGTAACAAGTGTGGCAACACTTTCACCCGAGATTTTTACAACTGTTTCATTTGTACCCCCCCTTTAAAAAAACTTTTTATATTTAAAAATTTTATAATTTTTCACCGGGAGGAAATTAATCCCGGGATCGAAAGTATGGAGGGAGAAGAAATGCGATATTTTTATATGGAATTTTTGAACGTAAAGTTTGACCCGTCTACGCTTTATTAACTATGACGTTGCTGCTTTCCAGTTCCGGTCATTCCAGGCTGGAATAGAAGGTACTGTCGTTCCGAGTTAAATAATGCTACCAATATCCGGGTCAAGACCCCGAGGTTAATCCTCACCAGGACCCCATAGAGTGAATAGTATTGTCTCTCCTGGACGTTGTAATCGAAGAAGAGAGAGAGTAGTTATCTTCATTTATCCCGCAACATAATTAAAGTTTTAATCGTTTTAAATCTTTTTTTATAATCTGTACATAAGAGTTTAACTTACTAGAAAACACGTAAGTGTATCTAGCAGTATAATAAAGTAAGTAAATCTATACAGGACCAATCAGATTTCCATCAGCACCACCTGTCGTGGTGCAATTGTATAGATATAGACAGTTAACGCTTCTGTTGTCCCTATAATATTTCCATTGAGCATTTGACTTATTTTACACACAGAAAAACGATGCGAAGTTTATATATTTTGATTAGAAACGGGTTAAATTTCTATATAATGGTCACTTCTTAGAGAAAATCGAAAGGTATCCTCCATCAGCGTGGCTTTATTTTTCGTTTATGAATCATCTACCATTGACACACCAACACAAAAGGCTAGGGTAAGTGAATAATTTATTCAACTCCCACACAAAAATAAAATAAAATGAACGAAACCAAAGGGTGAGGCATCCATTAACACCTCACAAAAAAAAAAAAATATTAACAGACAAAAAATGAGAAATGATAAGTGCTTCAAACCAAACGAATGTGCGTCATCGGTCCTGTATCAATCTATGTAACACCGCTAGCAGACGGTTCCATAGAACTCTATTAGGCTCCTACACGGGGTATTGTCTTTCTTTCGTGGAGTATCGGTGGACTTTTTAAACAGGTGTGTCTTCCTGTTGTCTCACACTTTCTCCATATCGGTTTAAACGTCGATCGGGTTTAAATCTTCCTTCGATTTAATTAGTAGCACCAAGGCACTCACACTCATTAGAGCTAAAATAGGACGTTTGCATGGAGTAAAGTTTGTCTATTGGATTCATAGATGCGTTAAATATGTGTCCGGAGTCGTTCAGTTGAGGTGTTTGTCCTTGGTCTATCAATACATCTTCTAAACCACCCAGACTGCTCTCGCTGTCCATACTTAGTTCTGTTTTCATGTATGCTGCTGTTTCCGTATGACTCGCCGAATAGAACTGACCTATAACAAAGAAATTATCCACTGTTAGAAATGTTATAACAAAGAATTTTCTAAAAAACATATTAAATTTATTATTCATTTTTTTTATTTCCCCGGCTGTTATATATAACAAAAGATAACCCCCCCTACATTTTTGGACTCGGAGAACCTTGAAACGTCGAGATAAGCAAAGGTTGAAGGTATTTTTCCTCTATGTTAGTGTGCGTAGAGAGCACGATTTTGAAGTTTAATAACTCCTGTGTCTTTTATCGAAAATTTCTGAAATTTTGCAGACAGGTTGGTGTATTAAGTGAAAATATTTATAGAAATTTTCAAGAAAATCGAGCCATTTTTTCGAGAGATATTAAGGAAATTGTGCCGCATCTCAGAAAGTTTCCTACTTTTTACTGGTAAAAATGTTTAGTTAAAAAAAAATACCGGAAAATCCATCTTTTTATCACTTTATTTACATTCTGGCTCATCGATACGTTTAATTTTTAACAATTTTTTATTTCAATTTTTGATTAAAAATCCACTTTTAAAACTATTGATATAAACATGGAATTTGCATCAATTAGATAAGTTTTAAATTGGAATTTTCGTCTTGAGATTCGATATTATATTGGTATAGATTGAATCTATTCAAAATCTGAACAATTCGAGACGAAAGATTGTCTATATTGGACAATCTTCCAAAATACGAAATTCAATTGCAGCTTGGAAGCTTTGATTCCGTAAGATGCGATCCGATTTTAATGAAACTTCGATACTACGTTATTATAAATTATTTATAACTCTATAAAAGGATAAAATTAAGAATTAGTAAAAAAAAATCTCATTAATTTTAAAAGAATTATTTATTATATATATATTTTTTTAATCTATATTTTAATTTATTATTTTTGTATTCAGTGTTAAACACGTATATACACGTTAATCCTAGTTTGAATAATGCTTTATATTGTATAACTATTCATAGATGAGGTTTATATAGTAAAAAATATAAAGGCCTATATAATATAATAAAGACCTTAATATAAATTAAGTTCATCATAGGCCATACTTAAATCGAATATCATGGTTTATCTATGGGTTAGATGTTTAATTTAATTTATTTTATGTTTAATTATGTATATAACAAGGCCTTAATTTTGTTATATTTTAGTTTTGTTATCATTTTATCTTAGGCCTATACTCGTTTCTATATATTTTGATAATGTACTTTTCTGTATATCCATTAACCTTTTAATAATTCTTCTGTATAATGTTATAAATTAATAAATAAAAAAGGAAACTTACTATCTGGTCCATGTCCAGGATAGGGCACTGGTGCTAAAGGAAACTGTGAAGAATCGGGAGAAGGATCTGTTCCTGCAGCCAACCTCGAATAAGGAGGAGCTGTAAGAGAATAATTCTTGTTTTTTTTAAATTGTCTACAGTGTTATTGTGTTATATATTTATATATTTATATATATAATTAAATATATACTTACTGTAGTCGGCAGCATCGCTGTGATTTAGATCTTCACTCTTTTTTGAATCTTTACCGTTATTTGTTATCTCGTTTCCTCCTCCGTTAGTCTGATTGCTGTCTGCTTGTTTTTGATTTTGTTGTTGTAACTGCTGCTGTTTCCTCTGAAGCTTTTTTAGCTGAAAAGTTCACTTTTATTGAACTTAAACTAGAAATCGTGCTAACCGTTACCATCAAATTTGAAATCGTAATTTACCTTTGCTCGTTGATTTTGGAACCAAACTTGAACGATTCGAACACTAAGGCCTGTCTCTTTCGCCAGAGATTCTCTTACCTAGTTTAAAACACCACACAAATCTCTGATCAATATATTTTAAAATAATAATAATAATAATAATAATTAATTAAATTTAATAAGATTAATTTAAATAAGAAAAAATGGCGTTATAAAAGAAAGCTTTATGGAATTAAATCAATAGTTTTTTTTTTCCTCCTTCCTCCTCCTCCTCCTCCTCCTCCTCATCCTCCTCCAATAACAAAAGTGCAATTGGGTAAAAAGACGTTAAAAAATGAATAAAAATAAAGTTTAAAATAGAAAAATAATATTTACCTTCCGACAAGGTTTTTGACTAATTTCAAAGGATGCTTTAAATGCCCTCCTCTGAGCCGTGGTTAGTATGGTGCGTGGCCTTTTTGGACCTCGTCGGCCATCTTGTCTTTGCTGTCCGTTGTGCTGTTGTTGTGGTCCAGTCAATTGTCCATTATCACCTGCAAGTCAGCGTAATAGTTACCATAAATGATTAATAATCAGCCTCTACGTACTTAATAGTAAACTATATACAATTAACATCTCGTTTCGTCTAATAGTAAATGGGTTTACAGTTTATAACATTCATGAATTTATTTACCGGTAATATCACCATTAAAATAATCGCTACCTCTTGTGACAATTTGCATAACGGCCATTTCTTTCTCGAAATCTGGTCTACAGTAAAGTCTTCCGTTCCTTATAACAAATTGATCTCCTTTTTGTAATTGCCTACTACATCCGACGCACACAAAACACGCTAAATGATAAACGTGGTCTAGAGCCCTCATTACTAATTCACTGGCCGCTATCGGTTGAATACATCCAGTACATTTCACAGCGTATAACCTGTGTACAGGAAAAAATAAATAAAAATATAGTAAGAGTAGGTATAGGCCTGGTAACTTAATACTAAAATAGCACGGAAAGTTATTAAGTTTTAAGCTTATTAACGCATTAATATAATGTTTTAAGCTACGTTAAATAATAAAATTAATTCTAGAGATGAGTAATGTTATAAAATTACAGATAAATATTGTTATAAAGTAGAAAGAATCGCTTAAAACTAGGCGAATATCACTAGATAGGTGGACATTTAGCGTAGAAAAAAGAATAATTTCTGTGTTACTGTAATTGTAAATAAGTTATTGAAGGATCCTATACGTTTTATGTTTCATTTTAGGCTATTAATTGTATTATTTTCTACGTTAAGAGTTCGATATTATAACTGAAAACAATAGGCCACATCTACTTCATCTTAAGGCGATTATGTTGTAGTGAAACTTATTTTAATATATTCAATTTTGATGGTTGTCGAATTAAGCATTGGAAATGTTCAACTGGCTTACTTTACGCCTAATTTCAATTTTGTTATGGGAAATATTACCCGATACCGCACTCATTAAAATAGCCGATGGTGAGTCAGTTGAATGCTCGTTCGACTATACAGTTTTTACTTTCTCTACTTAGATAAATGTGTTTGGTAAGAGTTATAGACTTATTCAGAGTGAATTTAGTGTGTGGCGATAGAACTGGAAGTAATGGATATTGGTTGAGGTTGATGGAAGTGAATTTCTGTAATATTTTGATCGGTAGTAGAGATTTTCTCCTGTCTTATTAATATCCGATAATGTTTCTATTTGCAGCGATTATAAATATCATTTTTTGATTGTTTACCATGCATTTTTACTCGTTTATGCCGTCGAAATACATTAATATCATTAATCCCTCGAGATTGGCGGCTTCACTGCAGCGCACAAAGTTTTGCAAGAAAGATACATTTACAGGGGACGGTGCTCTTTCCTCGTTTATTTATTTATGAAAAAAAGGAAAAGATTATAAGAAAATTGTTTTAAAATAGTCAAGAAAGAAACATTAGTAGAAAGTTTTAAAAGAAAACGACAATTAAAAGTTGAAAACTTCAATTTTTTTCATTGCCGCCAATCATACCGAGCGTAACAAAACATGCGATAGGAGAACAAACAACTGCAATACAAAGTTAAAAGTTTTAATTCCCTCAATTCAAGACAATTTATCAGACAAGTCTACCAAAAAACTAATACCCAGCCAGTATCCAATACAATACACTCATTCATTCAGAAGTCGCTACAGAAGTAAAAAAAAAAATGGAAAAAATAATATAAAAAAGAAAACTAAAAATCTTTCAGTAACTCATGTTTTTTGGATGACGTTCTCTATTGTCACGACGGTAGGCAGTTGACAATGATTGAATACTTAGCGTTCACAGTGCAGAATAATTCCAATAACTGTTGTGCAAAATAATGAAGCTAGCAGGAAACGATGGCGCAGACAAACAGGGAGAAGATGCAAGAGAGAGAGAGAGAGAGGGAGGAAAAAACCGAATCTGTAGTAGGACCACACGATCGCCTATCGACAAGAGCGTGTGGCCTTTTCTACTCTCCCCGCCGAGACAAGAGGGTTTGCAGCACGTGTCGCGCAAGAGCTAGTGCACACATACAGAGAAGAGAAAGAGGAGGGGGAGGTTCTACCTCCTCCATAAATCCCCGGGTCCGGAAAATAGTTCAGATTCCAGGAACACTTTCTCCTTTTCCAACCCAGTCTGCAGAGTCTTGTGCGCTGGGAAATCCAATAACGACAGCTAAAGTGTGCAGCTATATTGCATCCCTACAGTTCAGGGCTAACTGGAGCTTGGCATTTATCCCTATTCAAGCTGTCACTCTGTACGACGGGGTGGCCATCAATTTCAATTAACGAGAACGCGGCCGAAAGCCGACCTATGTTCCGACTAAAGCTAGATGCTTCAAGGACGGACTGGTGTGTTGTGAAACTTTTATTAAAATCACCATTACTCAGTTGTGTCGGATTTGAATGAATTTGCATGGTACCCGGATGTGGCCCTTTGTAGATGCGGGATTAGAGTTTAATCTTATGAGAAGGGAAGACGTGTCGCCACTTCCCCATTGTAGTTTACAACTTACGTCACTTCCTCTTGTTTTATCCGACTTTTAATTGATAATACGTTTCAAATTTGTCTTTATTAAGTTCGAATCTACACATTTCTATACTTTTCATTTTAATTAAAACACTAGCTTTTATTTTTAAACCATTTAATTTATATATATATAAATATTCAGCTGCTTGTAAACCATATCGGTAGCCGAATTATTAATAACTGTACAGAGTAAACACGGGGTCTTATCTGTTGATAACACGAAGATAAACATGAGATTAGCGTGGGAATTAGATAATATATAAAGCCTCTAACTTTTAAAACGGTTTAAATTCTTATTAATTATTTTCATTTTTAAATATATATATTATAAATATATTATTTTCTTTATTCAGTTTTAAAATAAAGTAGTAGAAAAATGCACTCAGCCAAAATTAACCACATTAATTTACTTTTAATTATGCGGCAACACTGAAACAACAGATCGAACCATTGAAAAAATATCATTTTTCTACAAAGTCACCGGTTTTTTTTAATATAAAACGTAAATAGGAACTGGTCTAGTGGCGATTCGGCATCAAATGATGGCTACTAAATTACATACGAAACAATAGAAGGCCCGTATACCAGCCGAATATAATTTCCTCCTTTTAAAGGGGGGGACATTTTCCGGGTCTTCTATGTTATTTCAATGAGTCTTGCAACAGGGGGGAATCACTCTCTATACAGTAAAGCAAGCTTTAAGCTTTGTAAAACAGTTTATAATTAATTAATTTACTCTAGTATAACCGATACGTTAGTTTACTGACGTATAGAAATTAATTTTTCTGCATTTATAATGAAGTAAAAGAGATAGAAGAAACATTTTTATCATGTAATGTAATCTTCACTTCATGGGATAAAATGAGGAATATTGGACGTGGGTAGTGAAAGGGAGGGTTTATAAATCTATTGGTCGATTCTCTCCCGACCAACGAACGAGCGACTCACATGTAAATACAGCCTAAGTTTAGAAGGAAAAGCTTCTATAGGTCCTGACAAAATTGATTGTAACTGTTGGCTGTTTCCAACCAACCCTCTGGTATAGTAGGGTGCAGAACTGCTCATCTTCTGCAAACAATTTCCAAGCGCTGAGCATGCGCTTCATAGTAAATCCAGCTACTGAAAGCTTACTTCAGATTTTTCTAATATCCTGTCTTTCTACTGTTGCTTACCAGACGTTTTTAACTAAACGTTGGGAGTTTGTACTTGGACATTTTCAACGTGGTACTCGATTCAATCGTTTTTTTAATATCCTGTAAGGAGTTTTGTTGACTGGATTCTTTTTTTTTCTGACTTTTCCTACAAAAGAAACTTCACTTCTTTTGTAGAAGAATATAATACCCCCTTATTTTTTTTAATTTTTTTATTTATTCCTCTCTTTCTTTCTTATTTTTAAGATGGTATACTTTTTTTTCTTTTTAAATTTTTATATAATATTAAGTTTATTCGATTTTTGACGTGTATATTCTTTAAAATGGAAGAAGGAGTTAATATAGAAAAATTACCTTTTTTTTGTAATTTTTCCGAAGTTTTATATGTAAATATTGAACTAAATTTCCTTTTAATATTAAGTATTTATATATATTTTCGAGTGTAGAAGAGTTTGAGAAGGGTTTCCTAGCTTTAAAATGGTGGTAATTTAAGAGAGAAATGCTTAGAAATATATAATATATAATATAAAAAGACGTAATTCTATATTCTGCGATTAATTCTAAACTCTTTTTTACAATTTCTATAGAAAAATCTTGTTAAATTGTCCTTCTTAGAGAGGTTAGAGGCTTAAAAGAGAGTAATAAATTTAGTTTGACTCGATAGTTTTTAATTATTCACTTCACAACTTCATTTTTAAATCAGGCGACTAGAGCTGTTTAATATTTAAAGGATAAATATGAATGCAGGCGAGAGAAGGAAGAAGAAGAAGGAGGAGGAGGAGGAGGAAGAGGAGAAGGAAGAAGGGGGGAAAGAATCGATTTTTATAAAATTTCATTCGATTTTGTAGCAAAAATGAAAATTTAAATAGCTATAGTCGATCACATTTTAAAAGTATAGAGTGAGGAACTACATCCTCTTCACGTTCAGTTGTGGAGCGATAAGTAAAATCAGTAAGTAGACAAAAAAACAACTATTAAATTGAAATTAGCCTACCTTAGGCAAGTGGGTGCAGTTATAGAAATCTATAAAGTTGGAACAGTCTAGTAAGAGAGGGCTGATGTTTACAGAGAGCCGCTGGCAACTGACGATGTCGTAGGACTGAGTGTTGACTCAAGGTACAATGTCAACACTGGAAATGTGCACTTTGCCAGTTGACGCTCTGAACAATAAACTGTGAATCACCCTGCGACTGGTTCGAACTATTCCAAATTTTCGAGTATTATTGAGTCTAGACCTCAGGCTATTCGAACTGTACGCTTATTCTCAACGGCACAAGAAATGAAAGAGAGAAATTGTTTCCGATTATTCCATTGCTAAAAATATGACTTATACATTAAAATTTATAAAGAACTGTTCGATTATAAACGTAGTATTAATATATTATAACTTAAATACTATAAGAAATTGCTATTTTTCTTCCGCATCTTTCCTTTAATCAACATTGGAGTTAGAGTTTTGATGCGGAAAATTAGCACAAAATTTATAAATAATATAAAAAAATGAAGTATTTTTTACGTATAAGAAAGGTTAAAAGTTAATTTAAAACGTTTAGGGGGTCGAATTACAGATAATTGAATTGTCGGGGATTATCAGAGGATAGTGTTTATGTTAGTGAGAACAAGTAGACTACACGAGGGGATAACGAACGAAAGCGGCGTGTTGTTATATAATTCGACAATGGAGAGAGGAATTAGTAAGAAAAGCAAGACACAAATTACGTAATAAACCAGAATTAGGCATTTAAATAGATACAATTTGTAACGGAGCAAACAAGATTGGGTTTAAAGGTTATATTTATTTAAACAAGATACAAGACGAGGGATGAAAAGAATTGAATGGATACGTGGATAAGGGACAACGCACTTATTTCAATGGGGAGACAAATCTTAAGCGAAAAGAGAAAGAACGAGAGAAAAAAAAGAAGAAAATAAAAACTTATTTGCAGATCAGTAAGTCTAACAAAAGACTACAACACCCTTGTCGATATCTCAGTCAGTCGTCACCAATTCAACTACCTGACAATAGAGACTCTATCGGGACAAGTCTACGTCTTCGTATCCTACCATTGAAGCCGGTCTGTCGTACACACAAAAGGCTTAGGCAAAGCCCGTTGAGTCACTTCACACCAAGCCACATTGAACTAAACAAACAACCCACCGAGGCACTTCTTTCCCAACTCACCACTCTTGCACACACACGCACACAGCTTATAGGTACTCTTGACCACTCCAAAGGCATATTTAATCCTTGGTGCAAAGCCTTCATGTCAAATATCAAGCCGTCTAGAAATTACTTATAATCCTCTCGTTTGACAAAACGGAATGAAACTGGAAAAGTAAAGCGACTTTTTCTCCAAACGTCCTTCTCTTTCAAAATCTCTTTTACTTCGGATGTTGCGAGTATTTTCTATTTAAGAAAGAAACAATGGAAAAGCAAAATAGGTGGGATGAAGAGAAAAACCGCTTCTTTTCCATTACTCTTTTCAAGCTGCTCTTAACTCTTCTGTTTTAAATAACGATGTCATTAGGTAGTCCATTAAGTCACTGTTTTTTTTTTCTTCTTCTTCTTCTTCTTCTTCCTCTGCTTCTCGATTTTTCTCAAATGCTTCTAGTTATCTGCCAGCTGTGGGTGTGTGTGCGTGTGCGTGTGCTTCGTATTTGTCATTGTTGCGTCAGCTGTGTTATTGGGACTGCGAAATTAACAGTTTAGGATTTTCTTTACTTATAAAATTCGACTAAAATAAGTAAATTATTAATTTATTCATATCGTGTGCTAAATCTCCTTAACGTAATGAGTAATTCTGTCATCGACATTACTAAAAGATAACCGGGATAACTTTCTTGCTTAAAAGAAAAGAAAAGAAAAAATAATAATTCGTTTCTCCTATTAAATTCGCCAATAAATTTATTAATTTAAGAAGGTTGTGCATCGAATATAAGTCCCTTTTTAGGCACGATTATTCGGGCTCGAACGACCGAAAAATGTATTCGTTTTTTAACCACTTTTCTCGATTAAACGGCCACTTAAAAGAATTAAAATCGTACGTTTTAACCCGGAACAACACTAGCTTAACAGTTTACATCGGCTAACGTTCTGGAATTCCAACGCTAAAAAGAAAGAAAAAAAAAATGGAACATTAAGTAAGGCAAATTCATTATAGCAATTACTTTCTTCTTCTTCTTCTTCTTCTTTTATTTAAAAAAAAAACCCCCGTCCAAAAAGTGTGGAGCCCTTTATCTTTTTATCTTTCCTTTACCAAAGTACACCCAATAAGAAACGTCGATGCAAAGAAAAACAGGCCGAACTTACATGAAAAATGAGAAGGCAAAGAGAAAGAGTGAGAGAGAGAGAGAGAGAGTATACAATTATCGAGAAAAAGCGTGGAATTTTCTTCCACTTTTTCCTATGCACCATTTGCCGACACCTGCAGCTGGGTCCAATACAGTCCTGTGTTAAGTTTTGACGAAGAAACGCCTTTAGAGGTGATTTACACATCCATTTTGACACCATCTGGACGAAGACATTTGTTTCGGAGTTAAATAGTCACGTAGTTTGCCATACAGCTTTCCTCTCTCTCTCTCTCTCTCTTAAAGACCGTGCAGATGCTTTTATATTAAGGAGAAAAATATTCTTTATTTTTAGAATTGTAACGATCTTCTTTGCTTAACGGGGGTTTACGTACAGTTTCTTCTGTCTGCTGATTTTATATATGCACGAATTCTGGATTCGAATTACTTCCTCCTTTATTCTGAAATGATAATGAGTATCAAGAGCGGCTGTGAAGTCTCTCGCATGCGTAGGTCTTAGGTAAGTGGAATAATGTATACGTCCATTTATCACATCGTACCAGCTAAATAAACGTGATAAATCAAAATGGACTCCGCCTAAACTAATCGGTTTAATTATTTTAACACGTGTTTAACCACCTTTTTTTTTTGGCGAGAAATTTGGCACCGGTAGTGGAAGTTGCTCCTCTTTTTTCCCGATTTCTAGGCTGGTAAAAAAGGGGTGTAAATCCTCGAACAAAGGGGAAAAGTTTTGCTTCGTCCCGTAGGAAATTTGGCCCGGCTACGTATACGTATATATATATATAAGGCATAGGGAATCAATTTGATATAGAGAAAGTCGCTTGGCCCACGTCAGCTGTGGCTAGGGGTGACGGCTGGACAACTAGCGGGGCGAAAAATTGTAGTCAATGAGGCGAACCAATCCCCCTGCGATCACCTGCTACGGGGAACCAACTTAATCCCGACTCATGCACAGGTGCACTTGTTTGAATTGAGTGCGTACATAAAGGAAAAAGTTTTCTAGGCTGCTTGAACTCCCTTGATTTATTGTTCGACAAACACCAACGGAGGGGGAGGAGGAGAAAGATGAAATTTACAAAGTTTTCAATTGTACAAAACAACAATTTTAAGTCGGAAAATTTTCCTACTTTTTCTCTGTTGAAATTGTTTAGAGGGATGCGAAATGTATTGTGAATACCGCATTATTTTTTTGTAAATTCCGCAAGTTATACACGCTCGGTTGAAAGTTTAGAAAATACTTTTTCTCTTACGGTGGCCTAAAGATCTGCAGTCGATCCGTAAGGAAAGATTGGTCTTTCTGTCTAGAAAATCTAAGATTTTTACGGATTTAAATTGGAGTAGAATTGGTTCTTCCCTCCCCAACGATTTCTAGGAATTGGAGCCATATTTATAAGGTTTAAACGTGTTAAAACCGCATTGCAAACCGCGATATTCATAGGATAGAAGAAGGAAAAAATGGAGGCAGCATCCAGAAAGAATGAGTGATGCCCACTCCCGCCTTCAACACGCGCTGCCCATAATGCCTTAGAAAAGGAGGCATAGAAGGGAGGTCGACACGTGGACCCCATACAGAAGTTCCCCGTCCGACATACCGGGCGTGACAAACGATTCGCATGCGTATTATAATGATAATAGTCGCACGTGCGACCGGCCCACACCGTATCAAAGATGAGAAATTTTCGATCCGCTCGTTGTAGATGCGGTTAACGATAAGATCTGTAAGTCTTCATTTAAAGCAGGGTGTTGTAAGATTAGAGAGAAAAGTGAAGTTAAATACGGTGTACGTTGTCAGAATCAATTACAGGGTGGGAATATTAATCAGGCTGTCGCCCCATGCCGAAAATAAGATGTCACATCGCCAACATGATTAATGGCCTTATACGTCGCCATCTTGTCTTGTTACTTGTTTAAAGCGGGTCATTTACATATTATTTACCGAAAACTCCCGTACGAGAATGGTCATATATTAAATAGATATATTTTCTTACATTACGCTAATATGCAACACGCTGGGATAAACCTGAATGCGCTCATTCAGGCCCAAACAATATTAACATGTGAAAAGGAAGGCAAGTCACCATTCGGTCTCTCCTTTTTGATCGGTTTAGCGAGCGTTAAATGGACAGTAGGGGAACACAACAATTAGGAATGCTTAGCATACGCTGCGTGTCATCCGATCCCCCCTTCTCCTGTGTTCTGATGAAGCCTCCTACGTGTGTAGCTCTGACGTTTATAAGGCTTCTGTTTTTATTTGTCTCTGTGAATGAGTCTCTCTCTCTCTCTCTCTTTTTTCTCTCTTCCCCCTGTTAACGCTTCTCCAATAATTTAATAAGCGCTCTAAACAATAAAAAAGAATCGAATTTTCGTGCGGCCTACACGCGTATAATGCGCAAATTACTCGTATTAATTCTATATTTACGGTAACTTGGGTATTAATATAAACGTAAGCCGCGTAAAATGGAAGATTTGAAGTTACTCACTTGTCATAATCAGCTTTACAATACAACTTCCGATCCCTCGAGTAGCAGGTTTGTGATAGATGAACATGGCAGACACTACACTGTAGGCATCCTTCATGCCAAGAATTGTCCATGACACGCATAATGTAACGGTCAATAATTGGTTGTTGACAACCGGTGCACACTTCTTTCTTTCCTGCCGGTTTCCTCACTGCTCCCGTTCCACCTAAAAATCAGCACACACACCAAGAAAGAAAGGAAAAAAATAATAATAATGAGTCTAGTGGAAGGTGACATTCGTTCGTACGTAACAGTTGCATATGATCCAAAGTTTATTTAAATGAATTTAGTAGTAAGAAAATAGCATTTTGAATAGATTTACCATCGAGTTTTATTGGCCAGCGGTGATCACTTTCAAAATTAAATTAAAACATTAACCATTTTATGCACTGCGAGTCAGTCCAAGCATTTACACAATTAGTGTACATTTGAGGAATTTAATGAAGTAGAGTATTCATCTATTAGATGTAATCTGCAAATCTTACTAAAGAGCAATTACCATTTAAAATCGGGATGTTTCTAAGATCACACACATCATTTACAAATTATTAATGCGTGTATCTTAAACCCCATGCAAGAATTCGAAACTGAAATTATCTCAATTTTCAATGGAAACTACGACTTAAATTTACCATTAAATGCGAAAATGTACAATTTTCTAGTAGTTTTACTCTTAAAAAAAACAGGAGTTTTAGGAATAAAACTACTAAAATTTAGGAATTTCACTCTAAAAACCCCTGTTTTTTAGTAGCAAAAACTATTAAAATTTAGGAATTTCACTCTAAAACCCCTGTTTTTTTAGTAGCAAAACTACTAAAATTTAGGAATTTCACTCTAAAAACCCCTGTTTTTTAGGAGCAAAACTACTAAAATTTAGGAATTTCACTCTAAAAACCCCTGTTTTTTAGGAGCAAAACTACTAAAATTTAGGAATTTCACTCTAAAAACCCCTATTTTTTAGGAGCAAAACTACTAAAATTTAGGAATTTCACTCTAAAAACCCCTGTTTTTTAGGAGCAAAACTACTAAATTTTAGGGAGCAAAACTATCCCAACTTTAACTCGTTTTTTTAATATCATAAAAACGGTATTAACATACTTCACGTCATTATTTTCCATAGAAAAAGAAATGGGTAGAGATTCGAGAAACTCTGAAAATATTTTAATAACTTATAGTTTATAAAACTCTATCTTAACTGGGATCAACGTATAAGTTTGGAAGGGAAGCGAGACATTTTATATATCACTAGTAATACAAAACTGTTAAACCCTCGCCTTGTCCGCCCAGTCCAGTCGAAGCGGGGAAAAGTGGGCCGGAACACTTTATTTACAGGTCTAGAAGGTTAATGGGACTCGTGGGATATGGGCTACGATGAATGTGGTCGTTGGGTCAAAGGTCATCCAAATAAATAAACGAAAAAATGGTACCTGTGGGAGCAATTCCTACCTAACGTTAAACATAACTCAATAGCGGAGTAAAAGTAAAGGGGGGTATTTGCTAAAAGTGTGAAAAGATCATCTTTCATAGATTATTCATCATTTTGTCAACTGTAAGACTTAAAAGATTCAAACGATCTTTACTCAAATATTTTCCCTACTTTTATTACTTTTTAAAGAGTTTTTCTAAGGATTATTACGTTACGTCAATGATTTTTTTATTATTTTATTTACTAAATAATACAACAGGAACATGGCACGAGCTTTTCTTCACTCCCTTACAAGAAAACGGGATTTAAAATTGTACAGGAACGTTTCTGGAATAAGAAAATCGTATAAAATTACCGAATTTATTTAGAAAATTTCAATAGAAGATTACGATAAGTGATAGGCCATTGTAGAAAATATAGGAGCTTCTGGATCACCATCCAATAAAGAATGAATCCTTCCTATACTGTTCAATAACCTAGATTAAATTCCACACCGTATATACAATTCTCATAGGTGAAAATACACCTTTATAAGCCAGAAAGTGTCTCCTCTGTATTTACAATGGTTTTGCATGAAGTAAACTTCTCGGTCATCTACAGGGTGCCACGTTGGAGATTTCACACATCCGAACAAAAAAAGAAAAAACCACACCGGGGGTGACTTCTGCCGGCGGAGTGGTACTCTGAAAGGAACCACTCGTGATAACCCCAAAGGCATAGTTTCGTAATGTTTGCATGAACAGAAAACATTCATACCGATCATTATTGTTCGTTCAATCGTGGCTTATGAGGACACAATATGGCGCCAACACCTACTCTTTAAAGAGGTGAATTGTGTTGTTGGACGACTGGGAAGATCTTCAACTAACTCATTTCCCACGTTACTCGACGGTTGCGTAGGACGTATACTTGATAAGTGTTTGGCTGTCGCAATGGGTGAATAGAAAAGCGTTGGACTATACAAGCCCATCGCCATCTGTCTTACTCTTTCCCCCCCTTTATTAAGCTTTGGTGTAAATAAGTCTAAATATGCGAATTAAGGGGAATGATTTATACGTTTCGACACTAATTTTTTTTAATGTATAATCGTGTATTTTGGTTATACTTCTTAGAAAATCGTTAATTATGTGGCCTTTCTTTATAATTTATACGAATTTAAAGAGGTGAATAGAATGTGGTGTATCGTTTTACACTACAAGAGTACATTTTTGTGTAAATTTATGATATTGCAAGGGTTATTAGGCCAAGGTGGTTATAAAGAAAATCAATTAGAATTGAAATATTTCCAATTTTCTCTTCAGTTGAAACATTAAACAAACCGAAAAAGTAAAGGAAGAGAATTTCCTATTGTAGGCCCTGATTATGTAGCTAAATACTAAATATTTAGGGGTTTCTTTAAGTAAAAATTCTGAGTATATTTCGACCCTTAATAGGGGGAAAAATAGGACATTTTATTCATTATATTCTTTACTTTTTTTGTAAAATAATTAGTTTAATTTGAGCCCCGAAATAATTTAAAAAATGAGGAAAATTTTCGACACTATCTTCCTTATCTTCAGCTAATTCTCTTTCCAACCTTCGACATACAAAACTATACTTCAAAACATCAATAAAAAAAAGGACGATAGGAAAATTCGACCTCCCCCTACTTGACCTTACTCCAGCCACCAGTTATCTGACCATCTGTCATACCCTTAAACATTTGTCAAGAGACCATCTTTTCTCTTATATCATGATCGATGTTGTTGTCTATCTCGACAATTTACGTCGTTATAACAACGCTGTCCAGGGTCTTAACAGTGACTGTAACCATGGTAACGATGAGGAAAACTTCGGAACATCTGGATTCGTGTCTACCAAGTTTCGTCGGTGGTTATTATGAACAGAACGATTACTTTGATCGACTTATTCCTCATAAGTTCCACTTTTAATGAAAGAGATAGAACTGGATGATCTTCCATTTAAAAAGAAAAAATATGCATCCGGATAAAGAAGATGAAGATGCTCCCGGATAACCCATTTAATAACACTTTATAGGCTTATATTTTCGGGTGCGGTGGTCCAATATAAACCGATAAATAGTATTTTTTTCCTCGTTGAAAATATAAATATATAAATGGTTAATGGTTTTATAAATGTATGATCGATGCTCCTCTCTCTGTAGAACACGGAGAGATACGTTAAAAAATAAAATAATAAAAGAACAAGAATAAAAAAAAGGGGTGGTTGATGTTGCAGGAATGTAAAGTATCTTGCATTTTTAGTACTCTCTTCATCCCAGTTGTGTAGAATATAAAAAGATAAAGATGAAAGAAAGATAAAGAAAAGATGGAGAGAAGCATCTCTCTCTCTCTCTTAATCCCTCATCTTATACTATTTTAATTCTATATTATAAAATAACAATTGTAAAAATATTTAAATAATAAAAGAAAGAATTCGTTTGATATTTATTTATTATAAAGAATTAATTTTTAAATTTAAACTGATGTAAAAATATACGGATGAAAGGATAAAAATATAAAAATTTTTCAAGATTTACTAAATATATTAACTTCTGAACATCATTAGACAGAAAGTATAACTTCCTAGTAATAAAATTCGACTCGAAAATTAATGGATCGGAAGGTTATTGCATTTATAAGCAAATTGCAGCCAAAGTAAAACACACTCCATAATATATACAGAAAGGGACTGGTTATATACAGTTTTTGAATAAATTGTAATACACTATGCACTTTTGTATATAGAATTTTTCTTTTATCAATACAGAAAATTAACATTTATAGCCTTAATTTCGAAGGCAAACAAGAAAGATTTCTTTAAGCCTGAATTTATTATACAGTATTAAGATTAAGCCTTTGAATAATGCAATTTGAAGTTTTATATATATATATATATTTAGATTTTTTATGTATTTAAATAATTAATTATTATCGTAAACGTTCATTTTACATGCGATATAAAGCATGCAAAATGGAATGAAGGAGGATGCTGGAAGAAGGATGAAGGAAGATGCTGGATGAAGGATGAAGGAAGATGCTGGATGAAAGAAGATGCTAAATGTTTGAGTTTATTTATCGAAAAATTTCTAATTAATTTAAACGTTGAGGAAATTCTAGAACATCTTTCTGGATTTTTTCAGGGAAGAAAAGCATATTTTTCCTTTAAAATTATCACTAAAAACATTAATTTTATAACTAAGAACGTTACCAGGCTCATAAAATTAAAGCTATATTAACTACTGACTCATATTTTCATGGTAAAAATCTTTCTGACTTTATAATTATATAATATATATTAATTTCCCTCAAAAATATGCTCAAAATTTAAAAAAAAAAAAAGAAACATTTTCTCTATCAGAAATCCAGAAAGACATTCTCGAAAATGCTCACAATTCTTCAATTTTTATATTAATTTTTAAATGAAAGCTAACTTAAACCTTTTAAATTTCAATTATTTACCTTCATTTAAAGCTTGTAAATATTAATTTACAACCTTTAAATAAACTGACTTCATCACGAACTTAGATCCACGTCAACGTAACATTATAAAATCCTCCTTCCCTATTTAATTTTTTTTGGGAGGGAAACTTAATAACAACGACCTATTTATTTACGTATAACAAAGAACAAATTACATTACTGAATATTTAATTTTCTACAATATTAAATCCCCTAAATTCTTATATAAAAATCACAATAATATATAAACCCATCCAGAGTATCAATTGGAGAAATTATTCCATAAAAAATAAAGGAAGGAAAAATAAAAAAAAATTGAAATTTCCAATTAATTTATAAAAGTTTCCTATTTCTCTAACATCATTTATATCTATTCTTTTTATTCAATTGAAAGAAAACTGTACAAAAGCCTATCCTAAATCGATACTCCTTTATATAATGCACAACCCAGATGCACAACTGTCAAAGTAAATTGCCAATCTCTTTATATTGATGAAAGTCGTCAAAATATAAAACTCAAGAGTTTTTACATTACATACAGACACACTCACGTACTCACCAGTTTATAAAAATTAATATATTCAGTCTCATCTTTCCTACCTTTATATAAAAAAAAAATTATATTCTTCTTCTTCTCTCCCTCTTATAATTTATAATAAACATTACGTTGAAAATATTATATATTTATGTGTATTTTTACTATACTTTACACCCCCTTTTTTATATATATTTTAATCAAAGAAATTCTTACTTTTATTATCTCTTAATAGTAACTTTGAAGGTAGTTTTACTGTGTTTTCAATTTACTTTCGACTATTTCTATTTAAGAATCTCTCTCGCATATACTAAAACATGAAAAATACTTTATTGTCTGATTGTTTACCTGGATTTTTCTTTCTTTTTTTTATTATTTTACAGTAGAAATAACGTTAAAAAACTTGATGTTATTTGTTTTTCTAGATTCCATTTTCAATCCTCTAGTTGTCATAGACACACTGGATTGTAAGGTTCTTCTTCTTCTTCGGTTTTCATTGTTTGTAGGGGGAATTTTTAAATTTTTGAATATTTAAAACATAAGAAAACATCTATCCATTGCTTTTGTTTTTATCCACACGTCAATTTAAATGTTTTAAATAAAAGATTTTTCGTCTTTTACTCGACAAGATCATCTACGATTTATTATGATTTTTAATATGTTAAATGGTTTTATTATATTAAAATCGTATATTTTTTATTATTTCCGTATATTATTATTTATTTTTTTATATAAAATGCGGTTTTTTTAACAGAAAAAACGAATAAAAAACGATAATAATAAAAAAAGGGTGCTCGGATTAATTTCAATTAAGCGGAAAACAATCCAATTAAAGTCACTATTTAAAAAAGTGAAACAAAATTAAACTACAGTCGATAGATCTATTGTGAGAAAACTTCATTTGTTTCTCTTTTTTTAGGGGTGTGTGCAACGAAATAACGCGTAAAACACGCGTAAATAATAAGGTTAATTAAAGATAATTAATGGAAATAATCGAGTCGTAAATGAGATTTTAGTTACCTTCGATGATATAGAAAAGCTGATTGGTGGAGATTGGTGCTACTCACTCGATTTGTACTGCATTTGTGGTCCTGATACAGTTTTATTGAACTCGAACAAAGGAAACTCGAGCCGCGGTCGCATTAAACAGTTTGCCAGAAAATATAGGTTTCCTATACTTTTATAAATCAATAGTTTTCAAGGGGAAATGTGATAGTTTGTGCCTGTTCAATGGAATTTTCTTCCTTTTATTTTCACTGTTTTGATCCAGATAAACACTTCATATTCTAACACCTCATTTAGAAACACCCTTTAAATTTATTCATTGTTTATTTTCTCGATGAAGTTATATATGAAATGTACTGCGTATATAAATTTGTACACGTATGCTCTACTCGCTACCTAGTACAATACAGTACAGTAACGTTATATACGGTATCAAAAAGCCTATATCGTTATATTGTATATAGAAGACCTACCGTTTAATACTACTATACAATGCATTATATATAAAGTATACTGTATAAGAAGAGAATTGTTAAACCTCTACGGATACGCATTATGTATACAGCACACTAGAAACCCCTTTACAATACGCAGTGTAAGTTACTTTATACATTGAATTGTGTTTAAATAAATTCGGTAGTACTTTATACGTATAAAATTATATTTTTTTTAATGGTAAAGTATTTTAAATAACCTTCAGAATTTAAATTTCATTAAGTTCTTAACTTAATCTTTTATAATTGTGTAGTTCTTTAAGGTGTATCTTATTACAAACTCCTCTTTACTACCCGAACAGTAATTCTCGCTTCCATCTTTATTACAATCGTTCTCGGTTTTCCACCTTTATAAATAGTTCTATATTAATTTCCATAGTATATAATTGTTTTTTAATGTCGTTCCATAATAATTTTCCATTAAATAAGTTTAATTTTTATTAAATTAATTATAATTCTTCATAAAAACATAGTCTTATAGCGAAGAGTTTAAGAGAATTTTGAGGGGGGTTCTACTTCCGTTTTACTACAGTTTTAATACGTTTCCTTGTGTTATAAGAGACCTTTAAGAAAGAATTTACTCCCTTTATGAAAGAAGTACCGAAGTTTCCTTACGTAGGCCTTCAATTCTTAACAACTGTAACCTAGTAGCCAGGCCTCCGAGTTACCATTTTTTTTTTTTTACTTATCTATATTAAAAAATAGTTTCTTTATTTAAAAAAAAAGGGAGCTTTCTAAAAATGTAGAATGTTAAGACCTCCAAATCTATAAGAACCCTTGAAATGACGTCAGAAGTAATCATAAAGACACTTAGAAAACATCAAAGGGAGGAAAGGAGAGTTTGAAAAGTCACTCAAAAAATCTATAAGAAAAAAAATAAAATAAAAGTTTCAAAGATATTTTGGGGATGTTCGACGGAGCGCATAGTTTCAAAATATTTGCTAGTGACCCAATAATGTGGTATTTTAATGATGGATGTGCATTGAGAAGTCATAAAAATGCGAATGGGTCTTTCTCTCACTCACTCACTCACTCACTCTCTCTCTTTCTCTCTCTCTTTTTTCCACCCCCCAATTCTTACTTGGGTACTCAAAACTCTACATTGGTATTGTTGAGTTTTAAAAAGTGAGTGGTTATCGCTTCGGGCTAAATATTTCTCTTTATGGAAAGTTTTTCCCATCTTTTGAAATGGAACTAAAGAAACTTATAAAATTCTCACTAAACTAAAACTTAATTGAGTGTAAACCTTTACAAATTCGTTATTCATTCTTTAAAAAACCAAAAAAATATCAGCTTCACACGCTGACCATCCGACGGGATAATCGAAAATTATGTACAGCAAGTAGTTGAACGTGTGTCTCTCTCTACCCCCCCTTTTTTTTTTACTTAATTAGCAAGATAGTTACTACACTGATCGATAGAACAACCGTAATTTTCATTAAAAAAATTTAAAAAAAAAATAGTTACATCGTCGTGTCGTATTAAAAACTTTCTTCCCCCTCTTTTAAATTTAACCAACCGACCTAAACTATTGTTTTATATCGGTTTTTTTCTTTAAAAAAGTGTCTAAACCCTAGTCTTGTTGACAAAATTTACAACCACTCATAGACAAATTAAACATTACAGAGAGGATGGAGAAGAAGAAGAAGAAGAAGAAGAAGAAGAAGAAGAAAAAAGGTAGGTAACTAATTAAACAGTATTATTATACTTCTATTTATAGTCTGTTTAGAGTTAAATATAGGAGTTAACTAAATTTATAAGAGATGTAAGAGAGGAAAAAAATGATGGATTTTTAAAGAAAAAAAAAAGAGAAAGGTTCTTAAATTTAAATTTAAACCCGTAAAATACCTTTTAAATTTCGTTGTGAGAGTAAAAAAATGTGTTTTCTATAAGGTAGAATGGTTAGAAAAAGAGATTTTTTTTAGTGTCATCTTCAGTTAGAAATGCTCCTAAACCTCCAAAAAAAATCACACATCCTTTAAGTATATCGTTTTTATAACCGAAAATATAATTATTAAAGTAGAATTTATGCTAGGAGAATAAATTGAGAGACAAAATTCGAAATTTTTCAGCATCCTCCATTGGAAATTTCACTTAAGATGGGTGTTACAAGAGAGTAGAAATCGGTATTATTTGTCTTAAATCCTTTAACAAAGCACTGGATATGGAGAAAAATCACGTTTTTCGGATGATCGACGTCCATTAACCAATAGAAAAAAAAAAGAATACTTAAATCGACACTATTCAAAAGGCAGATTTACAACAGGTTCTAGCGAAAGCAGCCAAACGTTAAACGAAAGAGAAAAAAAAAAGAGGAAGAGGAAGAAGAAGAAGAAGAAGAAGAAAAATCTGGAAGTTGCGATGAAAAATTCCAAAAGAGAATTGAATTATAATTTATTTAAACATCAATAAAATTCCCATTCGATTCTTTTTGTGAATCCTTGCATAGTGCGTGCCTTTTTAATAAGTCGCCTATTTTAACAAGGCATAGGCGCATTCGTTGGAGCGTTATAAATACCGTATCCATTGAATCAGCATCAGTCAATAACATTAATAGGTATGCCTACTTGAATTATACATGAATGGTGATCATTACTTACCATTTGTCGTTGTATGGAAACCGCTATGTTTTTCCGTTACTTCCATTTCTCTGATGATTCGCTGCACTTTCAATTTCTCAAAACTGAGCGCCCTGTAAGCAAAATTAACCAAAAAAATTCGGTACTTTTCTTAAATATTTTTCATTTATATTAAAATTAATAAGGATTAACTTCTATATTACTCGTATATGGCTATTAATTAATTAAATATCAAATCGTTTATAACTAATAATACTCCCTGCGCATTATAGTCGAGTTACGTCTTTCTTTATCTATTTTATCTTAATGTAGAAGGTTAGGCCTTTATATATAAATACTTATAAAGAGAAAGGATAGTGTTTTTCTTATTTTTTAATTGTTTATCCATCCGAATCAATTAGTTTAAAAGATTTTAACGCGCGACTATGTCTCACGCCTAAAAATCCCAATGAAATTAGTTATAAACATACCCTCCCGTTATTATAGATTAAATTTGTAGTATAGTACTTTATAAAACACGTAAAATTGTTAATTAAAATAATCAGTTTTGACGTAGGCCTAAGGCGAAATCAAAAAATTCTTCTCTATTCCTACAGTTTTATTTTTATCATTTAGCATCCTTCGTAACTCTTCCGCATCCCTCTTTTTAAGAAGTTCGTTTCTACATCTTAATTACAACATTATTATATTCTACACTAGAGTTTAGTCCACGTTTTTTTCGTAGAAAATTTCATTTGTTTTCGTAGTTTTCTTCACATTTTAGCTTACGACGAACACCGTTTTCTATTAAGCTAAGGCTAATGTAATAAATGGGTTATTATTGTTACGTCCTATTGATAAAAATCCTACGTGGGCACGGCTAGTTCAGATCCATGCACTCCATTATGTCAAATGTAACGAGCTGCTGACAGAAGTTTACTCTAGACAATGATTTCTAGCGGGCGTGCATCTGAAACTCGAACTCTTAAAACCCTTCGAAATTTGTACTTTGCACAGGGAAGGGAGAAGCGTGCTTTTCTTATAATTGTCTACTCGACTAGTTCTTTAGAAATGAGTAGAAAAATTACATTATAATCTCTTATTTTTAATCGGAAATTATAATATACAAAAGCCAATTCGATACTTTTAGGCCTATATAATTTTATTACTAAGGCCTCTCAAATATGGCCTACTTCGTTTACGTTACGCCTAAAATTTCGGGCGTAGTAAAGAAGAAAAAAAGTTAGAAAATATACTTAATAAATCGTATATATTCTTTATATATCCGAGAATAATGAATAGTTATAATATTTAAAGAAACTATGTGAAGCTGTACATGTTGAGATGCATTGTAGTGTGTTGTTTATGTAAGGATTCCTTTGCAGATATACACACAATAAGCCAGAGTTGTTTGCTTTGTCTTCACTTAACAAAATTTTCTAACTTTCTAGAATCTATTTACGCCATCGAAGACCGTCGTCTCGTCTTCACAAAACACTACAAAATCTAGGGATTCGCTATAATAATCCTCGTGTATTCGGATGCGAATATATTTCCGGGTATCGATGGAAAAATAATAATAATAATAATAATAAATATGGGAGCTTCGGTAGAGTTTAGTTTACAAGTGTTTACGTGTTATAAGTGTTGATTGTAGACTTAATATTCGAACATCCAATATAATCTATGCTTAGGCGTAAACAACTAGCAAGATACTAGTGTATAAAAGAAACGAAAAATACGTTTTTCTTCTTCGGATTTTCAAAGAAATCTTATTTCTTCCAAGAAGAAGAAGAAGAAGAAGAAGCGTAGGCCATACTTGAAAACGAATACAAAAAGACTCGTCTACTTCACTAAAAACTGAAGGGATTTCTCTCTGCATGAAGTCTACGTTTTGGTCTTTTAAAAAATTCGATTAACATTTTTTTTTACCTCTCCCCCATTCGATAATACTGTTTAGTTTGGAGGAAAAAAAAAACTACACACTCACACACACACACACCCCTCTTAACAAATACTAAACTCTTCAGTATACTTAAGCCATTACTAATAAACCGAATTTTTTACTCCCCATCCCTAAAAATACCTTTAAAAAAACAAAAAAAAAAAAAATGGTGTCAAACACTAACACGGATCACCCCCCAAAAATACTAACGATGGCAAAACTAATTTGGTAATTTCTATCGTTTTATATATATATATATAAACTATTTGTTTGGACCGAATAGTGTTTTAGCTATACGAGGGGGATACAAACGTTGCCATTTTTCCTGTGTGTGTGTGTGTCGCCCACCTCACATGGCAAGATCTATGAGGGTACCGACTTCCCTCCCCAACTTTGCAGTGTCTAACATCTGTTGCCATTCAAAGTGTCATAAATCTAGTATATTGCTAGCTTTGAGGTCCATCGCTAATAAATTCTGATCGCTACCATGGATATCTCCGGAAGAGATAGTGGCATTTTAGATATACCTCCGGACAGTCGGTAAAAATTTAAATTTTTCTAACCCCCCCCCGCTTATTAAAAAATATATATAAAAAAATTCCGGACATATTTTTGTATTATAATTATTATTATTTCCTTTGTCTTCGAAGGAAGAAAATGTTATAAAATTTATAAATTATATAGGATTAAAATATAATATATTTTTAATATTTACCTACCGTTTAGATATTCAATAACCGGCATTCGTTATGGGATAATTGACGATCCAAATTATTCAAAATTATTATGTTTTTTAACAATTAGAAGAAGTATTGTATATTTAAAAAATGTCTTCCTTTATGTACAATTAAATAATAGAAATATTTTCTTCCATTCTTTCCACTGATATTTAAAATAATTTTTAACAATCTTTCCATGAAAACACACCGCTTGACTAGAATCCGTTCGTGAACAGATCTGTGTTTAACATCAAACATCCAGTAACTAGTGGGTGGGGTTTTAAGAAGTAGGTGGGATCAATCTCGACCAATACTAACACGAGTTAACTTTATGGGGTGTGGACTTAACCTCGGTGGGTGTGGTTAGCCTCAAGGCTACTTTTAGATGTCGTTTAAGTAGAATTTAAGGTAGAGAGATTTAGAGTTAAGTCGCATGCTTAATAGACATCCGAGTTGAAATGGTATTAAGATGACAATAATGTAAGATGTAAAGAGATACTTTTCTGTTTATTGATCGCCTTATTTGGTATAGGTTTCGCTACATCTTATGGGGGTATTAAAGATGGTTACTCTTATTATATATTTCAATATTCCAATAAAGAATCCTTATGAAATCTATTTAAGAACATTGGGTATTATGTTACACCTGTTGATAAGATCGTATCAGAATCCAATATGGAGTTTTTTCTGTCTGTAAGTTTGAATTTTTAATCGGATAATCTTCTGATTTTTTTCCTTATTTTAAAGGATTTAATTGTTTTTAAGTATAAAGAGTATAAAAAGAAAACAATGGAGAAGACAATCCTTACAGAACATACCAAAATTTCTTTGCAATCGATTAAGAATTATAAATAATAATTAATTAAAGAACAGTTTAGTGTATATATATAGAAGAATGGGAAATGGGTAGAGCGCTTGGATACTTGGTGGATCATTAACTATTAGTTTTGCCTCCCGTGTTTGGGGGAGTATTGAAATGATTCCGCAAACTATAAAGAGGCAACAAAATGACATTAAAGAGTGCATATCCCGGCTTATGTAGTGAGGCTAACAATCGAGCCGGCGGGCATAACACACCGTGGGAAATTGTTCGAAGATAATCCCCAGAGATTGACTGGAGTTAGTGTAATTGCTTGATTGTAAAGAGTAGAACCGTTACAGGATTTGCATCGGTAGCGACTAGACCGAGGTACAAAAACTGTTTAGCAATTCCACCGTTTTCCTGGTAATTATTTGAAACTGTCAGGTATAGTTCGGTGGGTCGCTCGAACCGATATCCCGTAGGGGCGAATGAGGCGAATAGGCTAAAGACCACCCGGGCTATACATTGGCACAGAGACTGGGATTAGCCTGGCACGTGTCCGGCTGTCTCACCTTCAATCTAATGACCGGACAATACACGTGCTGGTTATATCTTGCCCGTCTATACAAAGAAATCGGCCAACAAGTTCGTCCCCTTGTTTACAACTACCCATTCCACCCAATAGTGTTGTTAGCTCGGTTGCTTAATCCCTTTCCGACTGGGAACTGCTTAGATGTGGGAACTTGCCCTTGGCCATGATGGTTAAATATTGGTTTATACGCTAAAATCGTCATCTCAATCAAATCGCCCGACTGAGAGAAATGCCTTTCATTTAAACAAATCGCCATTATCAAATTTTGTCATTTATGGCCAATAAATTGGCTTATGGCCCGGATTAAGCTCGTAAAGTAGATGCTTTTTCGGCCAGCTGCGACGGGGTTAGTTCTTCTCTTTTTTTTTCTATTTTGGCCCCTTTATGCTTATTTTCTCATATCTTCTTTTAAGTAGGTCTGTTTCCACCCGCTGATCGTAATTTCAAAGTCAATATATAAACTTGCTTTGACGTAACCGTAAGTTCGTTTGAATTACGCCAATAGAATTGACCGAAAGAACAGAAAAGCGTATTATTTGACTGAATATAAAGCCAAAAAAACTCGATGGTAAGTGGCGCTATCTTGCGTCACGAAATTAAATCACATCTGTAATCATAAAAATCAAATAAATTCATTGTTTATCTATAATTAATAATTAAAATAAAATCGCCATTTTGAATTTTCAATCGTTACAATCGTCGTAAAGATATTTATAAATCGATTTTTATAAATTAATGCGGAACGATTTTATACATTTATCGGGTGTTTTATAAGCGATTATATCGAATTTTATAAAAGTATTGGTCGAAATTTTGTTTGCAGAAAGAAAATAAATTAGTGACTCAGCAGCGGATGATCAGGAGACCACGGGGTTACGCTCGTTAACAGTTATTGACCTCACAATAAATGATCGATCTTAAACGATGTCTTTCACAAATGTTTGATCGTAAATACAATCGATCAATTTACGAAATAAGTTTAAATATGTATTTAAAAATTAGTTTACGTGTTAAATATACTTCTACTTATTGTCTGGGGGTGGTGGCAATTCCATGTTTATTGGAGAATTACCCGATGTAAATATAAGAAATAAAGAATTGTATAGAAGTAAAATAACAACCAACCTCTAAACTGCGGCACATAACCTTCGAACGACGGCCATTGTTTATGTTCCTGTCAGTGACTGTTGTTCACAGGTTTAATTGTACTATAAGGAATTAAATATAAAAACCTGTAATCGAATTTAAACTGAGTCTACAAGGTGTATTAGGTTAATAATAGACTATTAAAGTTTATATAACTTGTAGGTAGCCTGTAAAGTACGTGTATATTAAAGCCTATTATTATACTTATCCTACAGATTAAGTAGTAGGCTGTATGATGTAAGTAAAAAATTATTAATAAAATAAATAAATCCTGTCCATTAGTTCTACATAGATCACTACATGTATAGAGAGGTTAATATATGTATACACAATGTTTAATATCGTGAAAAATGTATTGAATAATTAGCATATATTATGTAAGATTAATACAGCAAATAAGTAATAAACAATAGTATATTTTTACTATAAGAAAATAAAGTTTAATTATGTTAAATCCTCTTTTATAATGAAGTTTTATTGTAAGGGGTAATATAGTTTATATATATAAACTATTATTATTGATATTGGAGAATTTAGTGTATGGATTTACTGTATCTATTGTTTAAAGCATGGGCTATATATATGATCGAGCTATTGTTAAATTGTTCGAATTTAATTTTCTTTATTTATTCTCTAAATTCTAAATAAGACTTTTAACAAATAAATAAAATCTTTTATCGATTATCTATGCAAATATCTATAGATAATCGTCAGCATCAGTTATTAGAGCCAGGGGCCTTCGACAACTTCTATGGGGCCTGAGGTAGAGAAGGCCTCTTTTGGCATCTATTATGGCGTCTTAATTTTCTCATGACCGGGAAAATCTCCAGCTTCCTCCTCTTCCTTTGGCTAGTGATCACTGATGTGTTATACGTGAATCGACTTGGATCCTAAGCTAATAGCGTTAAATGACGAATAAATAAAAAAGTTATAATATAAATTATTATGAATATTTTTTCAAATTTTCTAATAATTATATAATTTTGAAAGAATTTTATCGACGTGTAATTTAATAGATGAATTTATTATACTTAAAAACAGACATACACACTTAAAGTGTCTCAAAAACATACCTGTAGAGTGACCAATATACCGTAAACTTTTAATTTTTGGGATGAAATATACATTGAATGGTTCAATTATTTTATGTTTTATTATTATATATCATAATTTAAATGCATAGAATAAATAAATGTGTAACAAGGTAGTGAGTGCTTCTGTATCTTTTGATAAGGAAGAGAGACTTCTAAGTCCTTTCAATTGCTCATAATTTCGATATATTTTACTAAAGCTCTAAATATCTTCATTAATTAATCAAATATTTATTCATATTTAGTTATGTAAATGTGAAAACACATACAAACAATACAGAACACTACAGGAATACCTTCTCCATTGTTTAATACAGTAATCAAAGGTATTGTATCAGACAAAATCGGGTCTTCTCCCCTTTCTCCTTACACAAGTAGAAATGTGAAGCCCTGAGATATAGATTCGTACCTTCAGGCCCTATATATTATATAAGTATTTAATGTATAATTTATGTGGCTTTAATTTAATTTAAAGCCTTAAACTTTATCATTATCACTATATTTACTTAATAAGAGCGATTATATATATTTTGTTCAATCGAATTTTATAAATTATTAAGTAAATTCCTCATAAAGGAAGGTGGAAAATGTCAACACCAGGAGAAGGGAAAAAATAAAAATAATAGAATAAATTTTATAAAAATGTAATAAAAAATTTATTTACGAGTTTTGTATTAATATTAAAAATTTATAGAAGTTTGCTCTTATGAAAAAAATTTTTAAATTATAATTTAAAAATTTCATTGTTTCTATGACACAACGTGTCTATTGTTACCTCTTAACTCGTGTAATTAATTAACTATTTATTGTTTGAATATTATTATTATCTATCAACAGTAAACAATGCTGAAAAAATAATAATAATAACATACAGTTGACCCCCTATAACACTGTTGATAATTCCATTTTATATGAATTCCATGTTGTACGAGTCACTTAGATTTTACAAATACGTGAGCCGTTTACAGTCCGGCACACGTATTTGTAAAATCTAAGTGACTCGTACAACATGGAATTCATATAAAACGGAATNTGTTTTTATACAGAAAATGTTAATAGAAATGATTAGATTTTCGTCTCGAGAAAATAAATAAATGGAGTTTTTATAGTTTTTAAATTTACTTTTAAGTATTATAAATCTATAATTAATTAGTAATTATATATATAAATATAAAAATAAATTTATTTATTTTTTAAAAAGTTTATTTTTTTAGATAATAGATGGCGACACGTACATTTAGATTTATCCACGGATATTGATTGATTCAAGATAAATAATAAAGTTGAAATGTAGGACGTGTCCGGGAAAAAGAGGACTTTTTTTGTAGTTATTCAGAAAACAGCTTGCCATTCTCCATTTTATGTATTTTAACTAATCTTTTCCTAAATGGACTTAAAAATAAATTTAAATAGTTTAAAAATTTTGATTCGCGTTATAAAATTATTCACAGAAACAGTTTTGTTTTTTTTTAAATAAAAATTAATTAGTATCAACAAATTCATTTCCAGAAGGAAGCATTGTTAATTTCGATATTTTCACTTTCATTAATCGGTAACGCCGCCATCTTGATCCTTTCCACAAACTTATCAGCTTCACTGTGTATTTTGCTATTGTAATAAATTGTGGATGAATTATTTGTAGACATTTTCGTATCAATTTGAGGATATTTTCCGAACATTTCCGAGGACAAATTATCCATGAGAAATTTTCTTTCACTTGAATAATTTTGAAAATCTGACCACGTTTTGCTTTCTACTGAAGAATTCTTTTTGATTTTAGTTGAAGAGGTTTTGGGCATCGATTTCTTGCATCTGTCATTTTGCTGGTTTGGCTCAATTTCGACTACAACGGGACTATTTTTGATAGGGCGATCGTACAGTGTTATTTCAATACGATACTTGAAACCGTCATTTAAACGAAAGAGAAATTTAAAAGAACCATCTTCCTTGTCCATAATTTCGGGCAATATCTTTTCACCATTTCCATTATCTGCCAATCCCGATAACGATCGCAAGGTCATGAAGTACCACGGTTTGCAACTCTTAACCTTGACTTCTAACTCTGTTCCGTATTTAAATTTAATTTTCTTGTTAATTTCCAGGCATAAATCTTCCGGTTTGATTGGAGAACATTTAATATAACCTATAGAATATTTAGCATTGGATACGTCTGGTACGAAGACCAAAAAGAGATGAGATAGAATTTGCTCTTCAATGTCTTCGATTCGAGGAATGGTATTGATGTGTTCGGATTGTGGAATATTTCTGAAATTATCCGACAGAAGTTTGCTGGTTTCTTTTATCCTCTTCTCTATCTTTTCTAAGGAATTAAATTTTAATTTTACAATTTCCTCTAATTCGTTTAAGATTTCCATTCTGATAACGTTTAAAAGTTCATCTATACGCTTCTTTATAAAACAATATTTTTGTTCCATTAATGATCTTGCATTTTGGATCCTTCGTAATTTATTAGAAATACTCATTGAGTACTTCTTCGCAGTATATTTCTCTCGCCTAATTGAAGTAGAAGCCATCGAATCGGCACTGAAAAGTATTCATTTTAACGTTACAAAGTTTCATAATAGAATATTAAACATTTTAAAAAACGAATTGCATAAAAAGATAAACGTATAAAAGATACGTAGAATTAAATATAATCAACTCGAATAAATTATTCCCACCACCGATTATTGGTCGTGGGTTCGCTCATGAAAACGCCACGTTCTCTTCACGTGTCAAACACCTAAATAAGGCCCAGTTTCACATAGAAAGTCCTCCCCGGAAACATTCCTCTTGATAGACCGCACATAAAATTTCTCAAACCAAATTTATAATTATCATACACAATTTCATAATGGCAATAATCAAATCCATATTTTAAACGAAATATTGAACAATTTGTCATTATCCCTCCGTCATTCTGATTGATGCCATTATAGAACCAGACCGTCACTAGTGGGCATAATTGGTTTGGTTCGATGGAAGGAAAGCAAAGTTATCTGCTAATGAAAATGATTTTCTATAAGAAATTGGCCTCTTTATTTGAAGAGAACACGGAAAATTTCATTCCGCTTAATCAGGTGTGAACCCGCGACCAATGTTAAGTGGTTTTATTCACTCTGGTGAAAGCTGCCAAATTGATACAATTGGCCTTTAGAATTATTTCTAACCCCTCTAAAAATGTCTAACCTTTCGATGTCTGATTTTAAAACAATGGACTGTTTTTACGCTTGTATTGTTTCTTCTTCCAATTCCAATCTAATTCCAAAATATTATATATTAAACCAGATACACGAAATATAAATTTAAAATTAATAAAGTTATTGGAATTGTCATATTGCAAATATTAGAGCGGCCGGATGGCCGATATGTCGGGTTCGTCCTCCGCTACCCGGCGGCCCCATTGTGAGCCTGGCCGAATCCATAATGGGTTTGCAAAAAGATGCCCTCTTAGTGCCCACAGGGCGGAAAGAGTTTTAAAAAAATATATTAAAGCGTAATATTCACGTATTACGATACTGACCTCATAATTCCACGTAAAATCTGAAATATATCAAAGAGTAAAAATTGCTCTAAATAAACGAATAAAATCGGTTAATGTAAAAATAGAATAAACAAAAATTTAAAATCAAATTTTCCGAAACAGTTTTTTTTCGTTATTTTAATAATTTTAAATTAAATTTTATATACTGTAGGCTATACGTATAAATTTGTATATACGAATATTTTATCAGCTGCAATAAGTAGCATAAATGCAATTTGGCCTCTAAATGTGACGTCATAGAAACCAAAGATATTCCGCTCTACTGTAGAGGGCGTTCAACAGAAAAATACTTGAGGCTGTGAGTAAAACAATTCAGCTGCTAAGAATTTAAATAAATATTATTTACCTTCATTTTTATTATTAATTAATAATTTTTTAATAAAATAATAGTTAAATATATTTTTTTAAAAAATTAAATTTAAAACGGTCGAGAACTGATTTAGGTAGATGTCGCTTTATTGGAAAGTATGTTGTGCATATCTTTGGTTCTTTCGAACTTCAGGTAGACGATAGTCGACTCGGCAAGGATGATTACTGTTTAAGGAAGTGTTATTTTATTATATAATATCTAAATGTGACATTTCGACAATGCACGAAGCTTACCAAATAGTTAAAATCTTAAAAAATCTTTCTGATCAGATAGAATCTTTGGCAGCTTACGATGATTACTTGTTTCTTGCTACGAGGCAAGGAAATTTACTTATGTATAAAGTGGATCCCGAAAGAGAATTAAAGAAATTGGTTGGTGTGGAGCTTCTACGCTCCAATAAAGGGTTTGCCAAAAGACCGATCACTCAATTGGAAGTCGTACCGGACGTTCAAATCTTAATCAGTCTTTCGGATAATGTTGTCATCGTTCACGATTTAGCTCAAGTGAACTTTCCTGTGCTTACGGTTCTTTCCAGGACGAGGGGAGCCACGTTGTTTACCTTGGACGTTCAAAAACAGAAGACGCTCACCGGCGACGTTCAGTGCACCATTCGTATGTGCGTTGCGGTTAAAAGAAAGTTACAGCTGTATTATTGGAAGAATAAAAACTTTCTAGAGTTAACGGGCGATATAAGTATGCCCGACGTTCCTAAAGTAGTCGCTTGGTGCAACGAGTCTCTCTTCGTGGGTTTTAAATCCGAGTACAGTCTTTACACGCTGAACGGAAAGAGTAAAGATATATTTCCGACGGGTAAAACTCAGGAACCGCTCGTGTTGTGTCTAGAAAATGATCAGTTTGCGCTCAGTAGGGACAAACAGATAATATTTGTCGATTCGGAGGGAAATCCGACGCTGAAATTTGGAATCACGTGGACGGAAATACCATTGGCTTTGGCAAACGATCCTCCTTACATTCTGGCGATATTGTCGAATTCCATCGAAGTGAGAACGAGCGAACGACGCGTGTTGATTCAGACCGTCGATGCCAAAGACCCGAGGCTGATAGTGTCGTGCAGACGCGGTCGTTTATTTGTTGCGTCTTTGAATGACGTCTGGTGCGTATGTGCGGTTCACATACAAAACCAAATCGATCAGTTATTAAAAGAAAAACAATTTGAAATAGCGATGAAACTTGTAAACATGACGGATGATACGGACGATGAAAAATATCAGCATATTCAGCACATACAAAACCTTTATGCCTTTGATCTATTTTGCAAAGGAGAATTTAAAAAAGCCATGAGTATATTTTTAAACCTTGAGACCGATCCTTCTCATGTAATAGGGTTATTTCCTAAACTTCTTCCTGCTGGTTATCGCAACAAATTAGAATATCCAGACAAACTGCCAGAGCTGCAAGATGGAGATTTAAAACAAGGGCTTTTTGCTCTTGTTGAGTATTTATTACAAATTAGACATAAATTAAAAGGTGACTTTGAAGGTAGCATGTCATCTTTAACAAGCATTAAAGAAGGAAGTAAAACAATTCGTTCTAAGCGTCAACTTTTGCAAATAATTGATACTACACTGTTAAAGTGTTATTTGCAAACAAATGATGCTTTGGTTGCTTCTTTATTAAGAGTAAAAGATAATCATTGTCATGTTGAAGAGTCTGAAAGAGCATTAAAGGAATATCAAAAATATAGTGAATTAATCATTCTTTATCAGCGAAAGGGATTGCACAGAAAAGCATTAGAGTTATTAAAAAAGCAAAGCAAAAAAATTAATTCGCCATTTAAGGGCTTCGATGAAATAATACGTTATTTACAACATTTAAGCGAAGATGATTTGCCGTTAATTTTTGAATTTGCTAATTGGATATTAAAAGAACGTCCCGGAGAAGGATTAAAAATATTTATTGAAGACATAACAGAAGTTGAGAGTCTACCAAGGTTTGAAATTTTTGATTATTTAAATAATAATCATCCACAGCTCACTATTCCTTATCTAGAGCATATTATTCATGTTTGGAAAGACGATAATTCCTATTTTCATGATATATTGATACGTAAATATTGTGATAATATTTGCGATTTAATGCAGAATAGTTTATTACCAGAAGGACAGACCGACGAACAAGACGGTTATAATGTAGAAACGTTAAGAAACATCAGGACTAAATTAACAGAATTTTTGATTAACTCTGAAAATTATACCGTAGAAAATTTTCCTATGCGATTTCTGCGACATAAGTTATACGAGGAAGCGGCTATTGTTACAAGCAAGTTAGGAAAACACGAAGAAGTTTTGATAATTTATACTCATATTTTGCAAATGCCAGAAAAAGCCGAAGAATACTGTTTACAACATTATAACAAATCAAAACTGGGAGATAAACACGTTTTTTACTATCTTCTTAAAATGTATTTATCCGATAGTGAAAATTTGGATTTGAGGTTTTTATCGTCCGTGCAAATCGAGAAACCAGACGTAAGGTCGGATCATAAAAAGGCTCTCGAACTCTTACGAAAATATCCCGATAAAATGGATCCGCTTAAAACTTTAGCGTTACTACCGTCTTCATTTTCTTTATTTGAAATAAAGGAGTTTTTAAAACAGGTTCTTCTGAAAATTAAGTCAAAACAACACAGTTTGCAACTCGTTAAAAGTTTGCTATCTGCAGAAAACACTCAAACAAGATCATTTCTAATTCATTATCAATCATATAAATTAATCATAACAGAACTGGATGTTTGTAGGGTGTGTCAGAAACGTATAGGTAAAAGTGCTTTTGGACGGTTTCCAAACGGAGTCATAGTTCATTATTCTTGTAAAGACAAATATAATCCCAGTTAAAATATAATGTTTGTTTCCTCAGAAAACTGTGATATTAATTCAGAATCAGTGTGATATTGCAAATTTGAATTTTTAACCAACCAAAGAGAAATGTGGAATTTTCATTAAATAAATCTATGTAATTACTATATATATATAGAGCTATATTTATATATATTATCATATATACAATATATGTAAATTTTAAAGAGTCTGATGTTTATTAAATAATTTCAGAACTTAAAATTTATTTTTAAAATAATTAAACTTTAAAGTAAAAATTTGTTCTTAAAATTAGATAGAAATGTTTTTAATAAATATATCCACTTATTAATATATAAATATAGATGAGTTTATATATTATGAAGTAGAATGAAAGTGAACTTTGGAATTTGATATTCAATTTATATCTATTAATTCTAATAAAATAATTTAATTATGAATGTTTTTATATGTCATTTTTACATAATTGTCTGAAATGAACGACTTTGGATTATTTTACTAATTGTTTTGGAACAATATATTAAAGTAATTCAGAAAGATGGATAATAAAATATGCAGAAAAGTTTATTCTTACTGATTAGTTAATCATAAACTTTTGATATCTTTTCCCAATATTCAGCAGCCATTTAATACTTTATTTTCTGAAATTTCACTTATTCACAGATCTCTGTCATTATAGAAATATTGACCCATATTATTAAATTGTTCTCTTCATATAAAAGATGACAATTACTATTATAAAAGAAGCACAATGAAAAATGCTTTAACTATTTATTGTTGAAGGCTTATTTTAGCTTATAATATAAAAAGATTTAAATGTTAGTGTTTATACACTATCATTAGTTTGCCAATATACTTTTGAGTATTATTAATTAATTTAACCAAAAGTTTTATTCTCTTGCACCAAATACAAGTATACACAGGCCATTCAAAAAGTCGTTAGAAAATATAACGTCAGCAAATTGAATTAAACACTTTATTTTTCAACTTACATTTAAGTTAAAAAGACATTTTACCGTATGGTGTTGCCACAATTCTAAACCCTTTCAGTAAAAATAAGTGCTCTTTGATTATAGCCATTGCACTTTAAAACATTTCACTTTATATATTTACTGCCTGCGAATGCCTTTAATGTCTGTTTTTAAATTTGGGAGTAAAAAAAAGTCTGATGAAGCTAGACGCGAATATCCGATACAAGTTTATGCTTGCATCTATAGCATTCTTTTTACAAATAACTTTTTGAATGCCCCTTGTACAATAGATGAAATAAGTGCTATTGTTAAATAAAGTGAACAAATAAAATAATTTTTAGAAAATTATTTCAATTTGATTGATTGATAGTTTTTAGTTAATGGTATTTTATCTTATTGTAATGTTATTTCTTATCATTTTTTTGTATAATGTACTACTACCATGGCAAAGAATATAAATTTGTTCTAGTCATTTATGGAAGTTTTGATAAACAAGAATCTACATAATTAATGTAAATTTTCTTGATGTTTGAGTATTTTTGTCATGTAAATAATTGAGTAGACATTTTAAAAATAGATTAATGATGTATACGTATTAAAAACAAAATAAGAATAAAAATTTATTTCTGATTTATTGATTTTTAATAGTAAGTTTATCAACCGTTCTATGAATTTTCGTACTTGAACTTTAATGAATTAATGACAGCTTTAAATTCACATCATATGTGAAACTAGAAATGATGATAAATTTTATCAAATATATTTTGGAGTTAAAAGACTATCCAGTAAGATCTTAGCATATTACCAATGTATAGATTTGTTTCAAAAAATTTTTAGCAAATGAATGCATTGAGAGTATATTATTA